TGTGTATGCTCAAGTCTCTACCATCCTCAAACAAGAACAACCAAATCAGCCTCCCTTGATCTCCAAATCCACTTCCACTCACCCTAGTCATACCTGACTTTTCAACAGCGACCACTACATATTAAATCTGATGGTCACTTTATGCCCTTGTTTTAGTGGCCTCTCAATAATATCTAACACTCTTCTTTTATTCTTGAAATGTCTGTTTCATTTGGTTTCTGGGATACCACTGTCTTGCTAATTCTCTGTTAGTTTTCTACAAGAATGTGGTTCCCTCCCTCCGTCCCTCCCTTCCTTTCTTCCTTTTCTTCTCTTTCTCTTTTCTTTCTTTCTCTTTCTTTCTTTTTTTGTTCTTTCTTTCTTTTCTTTCTTCCTTTCTCTCTCTCTCTTCCTTCCTTCCTTCCTTCCTTCCCTCCTTCCTTCCTTCCTCTCTCTCTCTCTCTCTCTCTTTCTCTCTCTCTCTCTTTCTCTCTTTCTTTCTCTTTGTACGGCGTCTCACTCTGTTACTCTGGCTGGGGGTGCAGTAGTATGATCATAGCTCACTGCTACCTCAAATTCTTGGGCTCAAGGGATTCTCCTGCCTCAGGCTCTTGAGTAGCTGGGACTATAGGTACAGGTCATCATGCCTGGCAAATTTTTTATTTTTATTTTTGTAGAGATGGGGTTTCACCGTGCTGCCCAGGCTGGTCTTGAACTTTTGGACTCAAGTTATCCTCCTGCCTCAGCCTCGCAATGTGCTGGGATGACAGGTGTGAGCCACTGTGCCCAGCTGGTTGTCTTTCTTGCACATCTTGTTTCCGCTCTGTACACATTTGTTTTGGGCAATCTCAACCATGCTGAAGGCACTGAATGCTTATTTCCTGATCCTCTAAGTGATGATGACTCCCAAGCTGAGTCTCTGAGACCTCTGCTGGGTTCCAGACTTGACCATTCAGGATCCTCTATATGTGTCCACCTGATTAGATCCTCCTACAGCCTTCAGAGACTCAGTATCAAAATACCCAGAATGCAATTTGTATTTTGCTCTTGAATGTCAAACTCCTTCATGAAAGGTGCTCCACTCACACATCAAAACCAGAAACATCGGCTTCATTCTAGGATCCTCCCTTCCACTTAACCCTCACAAGTATCTGTTAAAAGTCTGCGGAATCCATCTCTTAAGGATCTTTCACATCTACAACGCTTCATTCCTGTCTTCCTCTCTTTCTATGCGTTCTGCCTATGTCTTAACACAGGCTCCCATGGCCACTTGTCTGGCTTCCAGTCTTTTCTCTGGTGAATGCGAACCTGATCAAGTTACGCCCTGGCTCTCCATAGCCTACAGGGTCAAGTGGAACCAGCTGCTCCTCCAGGCAGAGCGCACTGCGTCCTCATCCCTGCCCGCCTTGTTATTGCTAGCCCAGTCCCTCCTCACTGTACCTGTTCCCTACTGGGTCCTTAGGTTCAGTCCCCGACACCTTCGTTCATTTGGTGTTATCCTGAAACTTCTTTTTTTCCCTGGCTCCTGTTCTTCCCCCACCTTCTTCACCTTACTGACTTCTATGTATCCATCAAAATTTAATTAAAGCATTCCATCCCTGGGAAGCACTCCTTGTCATGCCAGTCAGGTTTAAATATTCCCCTTGGTGCTCCCGGCCACTTTCTTGATGTCTGTTCTGGGAGGCAGTGTGCTTTTAGGGTAACAGCAATGACTTTGGGGCAGACACAAAATGTTTGGGGTCAAACACCAGCTCTGCCACTTCCTCGCTGCATAGTTTTGGCCAGGCAACTTAGTGATCCTGTGCCTCAGTTTCCTCATTTGTAACATGGAGCTGTGAATGGTAGTATGCACTTCAGAGGGTGGTTAGGAGTGTGAGGTGATCGATATAAAATGCCTGGAATGAGGCCTGAAAGTCTGAATGAAGCTGGGCTTTTTCTGTTATTATCGTAACTCCTGAATTACTCGCCTGCTTTCTAAAACAAAGATCTTTGAGGGAAAGAAATCACACTTGATTTGACTAAATTCCCTCAGCACTAGCACTGTACCCGGGACATAGTAGATACTCAGTAAATATAAATCGGCTCATCATTGAATGACGGAATAAATACAAACAGTAAATACATAAAGTATAGGGTTAAAATGCTACCATTAGAGCATGCTAATGAGTGAGATTGCCCTGGTTTAATCTCTGTGTTTTTCTACTTGTGCATAAGATGCTGATGGTATCTCATTAACTTATCGTACACTGCCTCACTGTTTTCTGAGTCAAGAATCTTCCACTCTTGACAGAAGGGCACAATGTAATTAATTAACAGAACTGTTATTCTGGAAAGCAATATGTAGTCATGAACTGTGACAAAATTCCTTTGAGACACACTCAGAGAAACAAAATGTGAATTCCTATCAGAAAGAGATCAGAAGGCCTCATAAGCTAAAAGGGAAAAACACAGAGACAGTTCTACAGAGTTTAACTTCAGAATCAACATTTCCTGAGGCCCCTCTGGTAGCTGCCACTGCTGTGAAAACAATTAGGTTTGCAGAGTGATTCCTCACACAGGGAAAAGAGCCTGAGAGAATTCTCTACCCAGTGCCCCAGGAATCCTGACGGCAAAGGGTCTGGCTGAAAAAGTGTGATCAGTGAGATAGCAACAAGCCTCCATCATGGCCGTTTTTTCCTTCATATTCTTCATGAAAACACCACTTCTTGTTTATTTTGTAGTTTTTCTTAAATACAGAAGTCTGCCTCCCTCTCCATGAGGCTCCTTTGAACCCTGATGGAGATGCTATATAATGATGGGCATCGAATACGTGGCATATTGGGGAATCTTAAAAAGGTCTTTCCATCCTTGCTGGTTATTATAGGTACAGGGGGCTCTGAGGAAAGATCAGAGGCTTCAATCTGTGTTTTCAACGTTTCACATGTTTTTGTCCAGAGTAAAGGATATGATGAAAGTAAGGTATATGACAAAGGAGGCTGTAATTCACCCTGTGCCACCTGCTTTTTATATTGTGGAAAGACCTAGAAAACTCTGAAGACAGCTCTAAAGATTTTTCATAATTAGAAATTAGTGGCCAGGCACAGTGGCTCACACCTGTAATCCCGGCACTTTGGGAGGTCAAGGTGGGCGCATCGCCTGAGCCCAGGGATTTGAGATCAGCCTGGCTAACACGGCAAGACTGCATACCTGCAAAAACCACAAAAATTAGCCATGGGTGGTGCAATGCACCTGTAGTCCCAGCTACTTGGGAGGCTGAGTGGAAGGATGAACTGAGCCTGGGAGTTTGAGGCTGCAGTGAGCCATTATTGTGGTGTTGCACTCCAGCCTGGGTGACAGAGTGAGACTCTATCTCAAAAACAAACAAACAAACAAAAAACAAAACAAAACACAAAAAACAAGAAAGAAAGAAAAAGAAAAAAGAAAAAAGAAGAAGAAATTCTTTGACACTGAGGGCTGAGTGGTAACATCTGCCCTCCCTCTATTGGGTTTGTGTTCCTTCCCACCCAGGCGTGACTTTACAAAACATGAGGACATAAAATGAAGATGGGGGAATCCAAGCACGTTTATAGAAACTTACAGAACCACTCAAATATAGAACTGGCAGTTTTCTTTTGTGCCCATAAAATCTTTCTAAAATTTGATTGAAGTTACGTAGAAATTAGAACATAGTTTGATTCAGTTAGTTAATTTTAACTAAGGGAAGCGAGAATTACTTTCTAATTATTCTCATCCATAATTCAGTAAAGGGAGGATTTTAATTAATTAATTAATTTTAATTCTAGGACCAGGATAGCCTCAGTCTCCCTTTCAATCAGACCTGGCTCAGATCAGATCTGCATTGAGCATCCTCGGAAGATGATAATTACAATAATTTCCAGACACTTAAATAAATGCTTTATGAATATCTAAATTCTATTCTCATCACAACCCCACAAATGAACATTTTCTTTTTATAAATCAGAAAATTAGGATTCAAAGAGATTAAGCAATTTACCTGATGGTTTGGAATTAAACCTGAGAATGCTACTGTGAATCCGATAGAATTTCAACAGAAAGGGGAAATGGATTTGGGATCATTCTCAGAGCAGATGCAGGAGCAGACGCACTCAGTTAAAGGGGACAGACTTGGGGAAGGGAGGCGTTTTAATATGCTGAGTGTAAGGCTGAGATTTTGCAAAGGGACAGGGGTTGGTCTGTGGTCTCCCTGACTCTCACAGCCAATGGAGTTCAACATTTGCAAATAATCAACTAGCTTGGAAGTCAGGGGAATGTAACTTCCTAAAGCTGAATTGGGGTCTTGATGATTAAAGGGTTTAGGTAGGGCAAGCATTGTGCTTCTCAGGTCTTGTGCAGGGAACCGCCACCTTCCACCGACGGAGCTCCCCAAGCCTGGATGCCCCCTTAGGGTGTTTGCTCCAAGCCTGGCTGTGCTGAGCTAAGCAGCGTCCTCTCTTGCTCTGCCTCTTTTCATCTCTGTAACTTTGGCTAACTACATTACATCCAGAACTCACTTTTAGAGCGTGTGCAGGTGAGGGTCCTCTTTAGGAAACCTACAGACTGTGTCATGGAATTACCCAGTCCTGTGGTCTCCGTGGCCTCCTGAGCTCACGCGGGTGTCACTATTCATCATTCCTGTCTTTCTCGGCACGATTTCCCTCACTCTCCGCTCCTCAGGTCAGTGCACACACTTCTCATCTACTTTTGACCCCGTCTCTTTGGAAAACAGCTACGTAAAACATGAAGCCTCAAATCAACATTCCTCTCCCTCATTCTGAGGGCAGCTCTCATCTTCTTGCCTAACTGCTTGGGAATCTGGATGTGCCTGCTTCCCTGAGAGCATCCCAAGGACAGGGACTGACATTGGAGCTGAAACTCAGGCTTGTGTGTCACCCTGTAGTCCTGCTCCTGGAACAAAAGAGATCTTCCATGTTTGAATCAAAAGGACTTCCAAGAGCAGGGCCTGGACCACCCTGAGGTGGCCAAGGTGTCTCCCCATAAGTTGACAAGGAACTTATACTCACACTTCAGCTCCAGCTTGATGAAATCTTCCTTTCCCATGTTTTCAAGAAACACTCCCCAGGGGGTTAATGTTTTGAAGTAGAAAGAAATGTCAGCACTTGTTTCCCCTTGGAAAGTAGAGAAGTGCAGGTAGGAGGATGGGTTTGGGAAAGAGGCGGCGTTCCAGTAATTCCCTGTGGGAAGAGAACAAAAACATGAGGTTAACTCACGCCCTGATCAGCCGAGCCCTGTGACGGAGACCCATTTCTTGAGTTTAATAAGCACCATTAGCAACAGTAGTTATTTCCTCTAATCCTGTTTAACAACACTGGACCAAATCCCCATAAATATATTTCTGACTTTCCAAAAGTTATATGTGTGTCTACATAATGATCGTTTATGTCTAAAAATATTTAAAATATTAATATATATAATCTATATAAAATTAAATGTTACTATAGAATTTATATAAATTGTATAACAATAAAATATTTTATATTTACAATAAACAATATTTTATTTACATAAATACATAGCAATACAATTACAATAATTACATAACAATAAAGATTGATATAGTCGGAGTTCCTACCACAGAGTCCTAAGGGACTGTAAGAAGTAAATGCCAATAGATGTAAGAATTGGGAGAAGCCCCTGGGGTTACTGTGTGGGTTGGTGGGGGCTGTTTTGAACTCCTGCATAAGTAAGTACTGGTGGCTTTGGTATGGCGCAAGCAGCATCTAAGACAGACCTCAGGAAAACAGAACACGAATGGCATTCTGCTCTCGTTTTTCATCCACCTCTGCCTTGGAAAAACCAGTGCCCACTCCTGCGTTAATGGCCACCCAGACACCTGGTACAGGTGCTTCAGGAATACGACTGAAGGAGCCTGGAGGAGGTAAGGAGCTGGGAATGAGAAGTGATCAGGCCAGGCTAGGGCAGTTTCCTCACCTCTCCTGCTCCAAACTCTCAGAGGTGAGTTTACCTCCCCTTCCCTTACTACCTCCTCCTGGGGACTGGGGGTGAGGCTCTGACCTGTGGGGCTGTTGTGTGGTGTGGGGGTGAGGGAGTGAGCTCACGAACTGTCTCTCAACCAGCCTCTACCCTTGAGCTCTTGGAGAAGATGTGATTGTACCAGCTGCCTCTCCCCGCTCACTGCCTGACAGAGTAGCCAGTGTTTCCAGGAGAAAAGCAGCTCACAGGATGAAATAAAAACACCAAACTGCGTTCGTTACTCAGGTTCCATTAGGACAGATGGACCACGAATTTAGTATGGGATCAAAAGTTGGCTCCCAACTTCATCTTCAGGGGAGAAATGACTTTTTAATGTGCACATTTCTGAGTACATTTATTATCACAGCTAAAGACTAAAATATATGGGTGTGATTTAAAGCCGTTACTGAAGCCTTTAGCTCTAATACTAAACCCCAAATGTATGCTTTTTAAAAAACATGATATTTGCTATTTCTTTTCTCCAAAAGGCACAATGAATCAACTAAGTGCACTCCATTAGTTTCTATTCATACGCAAATGACATTTTTCCTTCCTTTTATGCAAATTATACACATATACAATATTAAACTGAGCTACTATTTTTAAGTAAAAGTTACTTTGTGTTGGTTCTGCCATGCTTAAGTCATAGTTTTAAATTATGAAATATTAAAATATGGTCTTATTCAATTAATGCTGTTTGTTTTTGTGTTTAGAAACAGCTACAATATAGCAACATTTAGATAAGTTTTCAGGTATGTTAAAACATAAACGTAGGCATATTAAAATCTTAACATGTTTATTTAGACATTCAGTGATGCATGAATTGGGCAGCACCAAAATACAAGTCGTCTTCTGGGATGCAGGGTTGGAGAGAGAGAAATGTGTTTGTGGAAGCAAGACAAAGAAACTATTTGGTTAATGTGGAAAGTCTTTAGTTAGAGGTTAAATGGTGGTTTCTGATTGCTGAGAAGCTTAGTTTTGTTTCAGTATTCACAATGAAGAGGGTTTTGGCTTGCCTCCCTAGGTTCCAGGTCTCTGAAGCTGTCTCAGCCAATGGTCTCCCCATTAATACTGTAGCAGGCAATACATAAGCAGTAAACTGGTATAAAATATGTTTGTAAATATCTTAATTAAGGTAAAAACAGTGGTGGTGGGACTGCTGGGAAAATCTACTGTTAATGTGTTCCTGTTCTTAGTGTAGTCTTTTTTTTTTTCTTTTTTTTTTTAATTTTTAGTTTTGAGACAGAGTCTTTCTCTGTCACCCAGGCTGGATGCAGTGGCACAATCTGGGCTAACTGTAACCTCCGCCTCCCAGGTTCAAGCAATTCTCCTGCCTTAGCCTCCTGAGTAGTTGGTATTACAGGCGCACGCCACTGTGTGTGGCTAATTTTTATATTTTTAGTATAGACAGGGTTTCACCATATTGGTCAGGCTGGTCTCAAACTCCTGACCTCAGGTGATCCGCCTGCCTTTGCCTCCCAAAGTGCTGGGATTACATGTGTGAGCCACCATACCTGGTCTCTATTTAAAAAAAAATCATAAAATCATAGATTTCAGTAGAAGAAAATAGGCAAACAGGCTACTTTCTTCTTGGGGAAGAGAATATTGTATGATATAGTGTAGGCTGCTGGTTACAGGAACAGAAAGGTGCTTCACAAAGTTGAAGTTGCTATTTATCCAGGATGAGCCTTCCTCCCCCCTCAACATCTGGCTTACTACACAGCAAGAGGCATTCAGGCGCACCTCTGTGAGAAAGCCTAAATCAACCCTCTTGCTCATCAGGGAGTTCTGAAGCTGGGAGGGAATGAAGATGAGGCCCAGGGCCAGAAGGATTCAGCTCATCCTAATTGGGTGAGAGCCCTTTAGGGACCCCAGAGCCTGCAGAGATCAAAGTCCCCAGCCAGACTTCAGCCTTAAGCAAAGCAATTCTGTGTCTTTAGGCTGTATCCCCAGGACACGAATGCAATTAACATTTTAAAATTTCAATCCAATCAAGGACTTTCTTATTTTCTGGGGTGGTGATGTATTAACAGAAGGGCAGTTGTCTAAAATGATTCTAGAAAAAGGAAAGCTAAAAGTAAAACATGTCAGTATTTATTTGAGGCCTGGCCCTGGTTATTCAGACAGAAATATCCGCAGAGAGGAGAAAGGTAGTTTCATCAGTTATTCAAGTGTGATGAAATATCTCTATAGACCAGAATTCCATTTATTCTAATTCCATGCTCACTAAGCAACTTCAATCTAATTTGATCTCTTGAATAGACTCATTCACAGGGAAGTCATGCCTGGTACAAACGGTTTTTCCTACTCTCCTGGAAACATCTGGATTACCACACAAGGCCTTCAGAGTTGTCAATTGTGAGTTATCTCAAATCTCTGGATGAGTTTATTCAATCCAGATTCTTCAGGAGCAACAGGGAGAACTTCACTCTGGATTAAACTGACGGTATCAAAGTTGGGGGTGTGTGCTCTGGAGGTGCCGAGGGTGATCAGTGGGACTCAGGCTGGTGATGTTAGCACTTCTGTTTTTATTTATTTTAAAAATGTTATCCTTTTAATATTGATTTCACTTATACTTTATAATGTATGCAGTATATCAATACAGTAGTACATGGATGGAATTTATAAGTAAACACACTCAATGGGATGTGGGCTTAAAGGCTGTCAGTGAGTGTGTTGCAAATGAATGCTTCTGCTCTGGCCCATGGTAACCATCTCTGAGACCTGTTCTGAGGAATCTGTTGCCCAATCTCTGGGATTTTTTATTGTAACAAGGTCATGTGAGTGCTTTTTCCAGCGCTTATAGTGTTTCCAGATGCAAAGAGCTTCCAGCATTATTATTGTTTGTTGATACTGCTCCCAATTGATTACAAGCTCCATGAAGCCTGGCATGAAAACATTTCCTCTCTGTAATCTTCAGCCTCGAAATACAATCAGTACTCATAAATAATTATTCAATCAATAGATGAGTGACTCGTTGCCCCTCTCATTTATATCCATTTTCACTCCTTCTACAAAGTCCTCATGGGACAGAATGTTCTTTATGGTAACCTGAGTATTAGAGATGCTAAATAAATATAAATAAAAGCTAATGCTATTTTAGCACCTACTGATAACTGGATACTGCTTCCACTAGCACACCATAATTTTCCTTATCCATGACTTTATTTCTGTAATTCCCTATAGACTTCATTGAACAATGCCAGGCATTTGCAAGATTGATGGTATCATAACCTTAAAGTTACTGAAATCGCTGCGATTTGTACTTGCTATCAAGGTCAGTGCTACGGAGGGTAAAGTGACAAGGGGTGAGAATGCCAAGCTGGAAATAAGAGATTCACTGCATGGCAAAGGCAGTGCCAAAGGAAGTGGCAGGGACCAGGCCAGCATGAGTAACTGGATGGCGCAAGGTTGGAAACTGAGAGGGAAAGTGTAAAAGATGTGAAACAGACCAGAAATTAGTGTCTGAGACTGGAAGGGTCAGATGACAGTAACAGAATAATGAGGTAAGCAGAGAGGGGTTGGAGATGCAGCCTGGCGCTGGAGTCAAAAGCTTTACAGAATGGTCTAGATGACACTGAAGACTCTGCAAGCTTGCAAGTGAGTCAATCACATGAGAAGCTTTGTAACTACCGTGCCAGGCAAGGCCAGGGCTCATCATGTGTTGCATGAGGAGCCAGGGAGGTACCTCTAGCTAGTGCAGGAGGTGGGGAAGGGCCAGTGAAGTGGGCTTGCTGGTGTCCGTCATCACTTCAAACCTCGATTAAGCATCAATAGAAAATGCACTATTGTATCTTCACCCAAATTCCATAGCAGCCGCTTACTTTAATCAGACCAATGATTATTTGGTATTGAATATGGTTTAAACCTGTGTACCTACCCAAATCTCACAGCTAATTGTAATCCCCAATGTTGTGGGGCTTGGTAGGAGATGATTGGACCATGGCACCATCGCCCTTGGCACTGTCTTTGTGATAGTGAGTGAGTGCTCAGGAGATGTGGTTGTTTAAAGTGTGCAGCACCTTCCCTTCTCTCTCTTGCTCCATCCACGGGATGTGTGTGCATCCCCTCTGTCTTCCACCATGATTGTAAGTTTCCTGAGGTCTCCCCAGAAGTCAGGCAGATGTCAGCATCATGCTTCCTGTACAGCCTGTAGAACCATGAGCCAAGTATACTTCTTTTCTTTATAAATTACCCAGCC